GTTCTTACCCATGAAAGCTTATGCTCCCAATACTTCTGTTAGTCTTAAAGGTGCCACAGGACCCTCTGTTGCTTTTTACAGATTCAGACTAACACGGCTACCCCTCTGATACAGTTCAATAAAAGTCACCTCACCCACCTTTCTCTCTAATATCCTGGGACTGACCTGGCTACAACCACTCTGTATAATATAGTTGGTGTAAGGGTAATGATAGGTCTGTTTTCTTTGAAGTGTAAGGAGTGAACTGGAACAGAAAATGGTGCTTTACAAACTCTTCCAGCAGCATCTGGCTCCTTAAATATAGAACTGCACCAACAGAGGATAGCTGATGTAACTTGACAGGGAACCTAAACACAAACAAACAAAACATAATACCCCATTTCATTCCTCTGTGCCTGGGATTAAAAACAAAGTTATCATGTGTGTTTCCAGTACCACTGCCCATTCTAGAGCAATCGTTACATAACATACTTGGTTTGCCTGTAACAAAAAAAAGTTGGCATCTTTTGCAGGTCCTGCCCACAAATTGTCCGTTAAGATTATGTAACAGATGAATCTGGTCTGTTTGGTACTTTTTTAAATTCATATTTTAAAGTAGGTGATCAGCCTGTTGGTTTGCCACTATTTTATTAAACATCAGAAGAGTTTTCCAGTCTCACTTTTTGATCTTAAAATTGTAGTTCAGTAATTGGATTTTGTCAGCTTACTTTGATTACTTTGTCATTGTAAATATGTATGAGCTGTTAAATGGACCCAGTTTAATCCAATGTGGATTTTTTTAAAAATTAGGTTTTGTAAAACAAGTTCTAGGAGTAATAGGCATATTTCCAGTTCTTCTAAACACTGCAGTGGACATATATTTTGAAGTGACACTCAACTTTTCAGTCATGGTTGTCTGAATTTTATCTGTTGATGTGTTTAAATATTCTATCAGTTTGTCTGCATGTTTGTTTGACAGCACCATGTAGTTTTTTTCCATTGTTTCTGTTTTGTGGGTATTTAACACCTGAGCAAAACTTTATTTGGGGGGGTGAGGAGGGAAGACATAGAACTTATAAACTACAAATGGCTAGAGGGACTTGGGACTGCTGAAATATGATCAGTTTCAAAAGAATATGTAAGCTGTTTCATACTTTTAAAATAATTATTCCCATGCCAGACTTCCAAACCAGCTGTTGCTGCTTGAATACATGGAAATTCGAAAACTGTATTTATTTGGAAATATACTATATAAGTATGGAATTGGCTAG